GAGGCCTTGTGCAGACTAGAGCTCGGACTCAAGCAAACCCATGGTAACTTCTGCCAGATGTAGTCTCTTCTGGGTTACAGAGATTGACATGAGCAGCTAACTTGTTTCAAATCATGTGAAAATTTAGCCAATCTGCACCATTTTTTTGTTTTCGCTGTAGGGTTGGGTGATATACCAAAAAATCACCAAAACAAGAATTGTGAAGCTCTCACTGACCTAAATAAAAAATAAAAAAAAGTCAGCATGTTAGGGAACAACATTCATTTTGTGCAAGCACATTTTCATCTGCAACCCTTTAACCAAAACTACAACAGCCAATCACACTCTTGTTCCACTGTGCTTATATGGGAATATAAATACTTGGGCTAGCACTGATGCCACCCTTAGGCCATATTACACAAGAAAAATCCATTGTATTGTGGTGCATCATGTTTAAAACAGAAGAAACGTTTGTACTGTTTGAGCATATGAAAAGCTGTGATACAGCTGCTCTTCTAATACTTGTTCATAAAAAAATTAATTAATTTTAAAAAATCCTGGTGAGGATCTTACATTGTTTTTAAAGGACAAGATGATGAGACTTCCTCCTTGGGGGAAAAAGACAAGCTGATGGTCATGGCCCAGGCAATAAAGGCACTTGAAGAAGAATGAGATTTTCTCTGTCAAACTGTCCTAAAACTCTTAAGTAACTCTCAAGTTGGACACAAGCACTGAATGCAGCACCAGTGACTTCTTCCTCCTCTTCAGAGTCACCTGATAGCCACATTCCTTGGAAGATGAGAAGAGGTCATAAGAGGGCTAGCAAGTCAAAATCTACCCAAGCACAGCTCACGTGGTAAGCACAGCGGACAGTTCCTGAGGAGTTACCATGTAAGTATAGAGGTATCACAAGGTTAAACTTTCTAATTCAATGTTCATAAATAAATGGTATGCACATAGGAATCAGCATGATTTCCATAAAGTTTCAGTGTATTCCAAACTGGTAACTGCAGTATTGAAGACTGCGTGTGGAAGTGGAAAAACTTGTGAGAATACATATTGTTGTTACAAAATGTAGCTACATAATTCTTGTTACACGTGTGCTTACCGAAGTGAAAAAAAAGTGTTGTTACCAATGTCCTGTCCTGTTACACATTTGTACACATACTGTTCAGTGGGTTGTTACATGTGTGTAGCTACTCCAGTATTAAAGCTGTAGATACTATGTACCAATGTGTACATACACTGTGGTTACATACTACGTACACATCTAGTTACCATGTAAGTTCACATGTATTGGGGACACTTAAAATAAAGTGGGACCATCTAATTCTTCCCTACGATTGGGAAATATTCCGAAGGCTATTACGAATTCACTGAATGAGAGGTTGCATTGCAGTTTGGGATCTGAAGTTTTCAAAAACACAGCCATGTCACCATAGTCGACCACTTCACTTGTGATGGAAGCAGCAAAGTGGCTAAATTAATTTCCTTACCTTGGATGATATCAGATCTAATTTTGGGGGGACAGTGAAAGCAGCAGGAGGAACAAAACACCTATCAAATACTTGCACTGGAGTAGCTATAGTAAGATTGTAATTAGTAGAAGATTGTGGAAGAAAAGCTTCTTGGCATGAAGATTGCGTCATGGAAGGAACCGTGGCCAGTAAATTAAGTGACATAGAAGGAGCTTTTGGAGAATCAGCAAATCAGGGGTAAAAAGGAACAGCTGATATAGAGCCAGAAGAAGGCAAGGGCATAATCCAGATACCATTGTAGAAAAAGCAGTCTCAAAAACTTACAGCTTGGTTTCAAATTTTTTAACTGATTCAGGTGGTCCTTGCACAGCTCTGATTTAATCAGCGTTGGAATGTTCTGCATCAAAACAGAGGAAAGGAGGTGGTAGTCTTGCACAGCCAGACCTTTAGACTGAACACAGAAGGTCTGGGAACCTTGACCGCTTTGAATGGCCAAGGCCCACCCAAGAGGTCATATGGCTGACAGGTAAAACAACCAATCACGTTTCGTTTTGTGCCGCGTCATGTTTAGGGGCATGGAAATGTCCCACAATAACAGACCGGTGTGTAAAACTCTTGGACGTATTTTAAAGATTCTATGCTGCGAACTTTACATATTTCACATACTCTGACAGCGTGACTCGCTATTTGGTTGAAGAAATGGTGCCATTCCGTACCGTTGAGAAGCCAGCGTTCAAAGCAATGCTACAGACTTTTGATAAACAATATGTACTTCCCGACCAAAAGTACTTTTCTCAAACAGCGATCCCTAAAAAGTATCTGTCGGTGAAGGACGGCATAATACGGAACTTGAAAGACGTTGATCATTTCTCAGTTACAACTGACATGTGGTCAAGCGTAAACATTATGCCATACATAAGCCTGACCATACATTATCTCGGCGCAAACTGGGAACTAAAAACAAAGTGCCTGGAGACCGTGTTCACGCCAGAAAGCCACACGAGTGACAACTTGGCAGAAGCCCTCAGGTCCTCCTTCCAAGAGTGGTCCCTGGACGAGAGGAATCTGGTCTGTATTACCACAGACAACGGGGCAAATATTGTGGCTGTGGTGCGAAAACTTGGCTGGAAATGGCTAAGTTGCTTTGGCCATAATCTGCATTTAGCCGTCACCAATGCAATAAAGACAGAAAAGGACCGCACTGCCCGAGCCACGGGTGTGTGCAGAACATTGGTGACAACATTCTTGCAGAGCTGGCAAAAGAAGAGAAAGCTGCAGAAAGAACAAGCCGAGCTCAACATGCCCCATCATTGCTTAGTTCCGGTGAGTTGTTCAAAACTTCGATTCGTATTTCTTTAGACATAGTTTTTCGGGTAACAGTCCGTGGATATAAACACACTCGTCCAAATGCAGCTTGTTGAAACTTTGAATAATTTATTGTACAAAAAATGGGTTACAAACAATGACAAAAACTGTTCCATAATTCCTATTAAACTCAAAAGATAATGAAAAAAACAACAAAGTTATATAAATAAATATTATTTCATGTTATTATTGTTAATATGTTTATTGTGTTAATAATTAGAATTTTTCAAAGCGAATACGAAACGAAATAGCCTATTGCATCATCCCATCAATAATTGGGCAAAACTTATGGATACGGCAATCAATGCTCTGAATTTCTGCTGCCGATTTACATGATCAAGATAAGATAGCCTAATATAAGACTTTATTGATCCCGGGCTGGATAAATTCGCTTGTTACAGCAGCTCCAGATACAACACAACAGATGGCAAAAATACACATTAAATAAAAAATAAAGAAATGGAAAATAAGTGTAAGAGCATAATATATAGGCTACAAAATACAGATTGATATGAACATAACATAGTCTAATTGGGGATACTTACAAATAGCCTACATTGAAGACTAATACAATTGTGTTTTTAATGTATTCACAGGATTGTCCTACTAGGTGGGGTACTAAGGAGAAAATGGTTGGCGCGTTCTCAAGCAAGCCCCAGCCATTAGGAGGGTGTTGGATGAACGGCGCAGCCAACATTTGATACCAACGTGGCAGGACATCAAAGTCCTAAAATCCGTTAATGCAGCGCTGAAGAAGGTCACGGATTTTACAGATGCGCTGTCTTCCGAGAAGACGGTTACAGCATCCTCTGAATAATTTATTGTACAAAAGTTTTCATAGGTCGGAAAAGCCGATTGCTCTCTGGACCATACTGCTGTAGCCCTACCCAACACCCTTCCCATTAACAAGGAACAAACAAATGAAACTTGACTGTCGTCAGTAGGATATAGTGAAGATTGCTGGACCAGGAACATAAAACACTCCATTAGAACATCAACGGTTGAGTTGTTGTTGATGTGCTGCAAGAACACTCAACTTGAGCAGACAACTTGTTAGATAGTTGTTGTAAAGCCACTGGATCTGTCACTGGCGAAGTCTTCTATGACGAACTCTCAGTGACATTTGAATGAGAATCCATGTGCTGCTTTATTAACACAAAGTAGAATCAAACATGTAATATTCCAACAATCACACATAAACACTGGTTTAACACAAACACTGGTTCACTCCCCAAGTATAGTTAAATGTCTCTAGTTCTTTGACCAGGTGATAAAAAGCATTCTGACTTTAACCTTGATTTTATTAGACCCTTTAAAATTGGCACTGCATCAGTTGACCCCACAACATTAAGTTTACCTTTGCGTGATTGCCAGATTACCATTTTTGCCAGCCCAAACAAAAAAATTAAGCAACACATGGATTAAACAACACATGGATCAAAGCTTCACGTGTCCCACGGTGAAAAAAATTAATGAAACAGTTTCTGTTAATCCACAAAATCGACACCCCTTCCCAACCTGTAGATCAGGATGTGCTCTTTGTCTGTTTGTAGCTATTAAATCATCCAGAATTGTCCACTGAAAGTCTACAGACCTTTTCTAAATGTGAGCTTTGTAGGTCCTCTAGCATTCTTTAGGGGAATTACCAGTTCTGAAGCTCTCCGGCCATTTAGATTCTTTAAGTCCTTCTAAAGAGTTAATATGTGAGACTTTGACACATGTTGTCACAATCCCCAGTCACAAGCTGTGTCGCAATTCAAAGGCTGTGTCCTTCGAAGGATGTGGACGACACGGCCTTCAAAGGACGCTCCGCAGTCTAGCATTCGCAGGATTTCCTAATTGAGCCACCAGGTGTTCCCGATTGCCGCCCCTGTTGCGTAGCAACGGTGTGAGAAGAGGGTTGGCATAGATGTTATTTGTTAATGAAAATGAAAATAAATGGAGCCTGAACTGTTAGTTTTTGACTTTTAATTACTGAATTACACTTTAAATGTAATTTAATCATGACAAATCTCTGAAGATTTTAGCATGGTGACGGATATGACAATGTTAATGTATTTGGTCTTGGTTCTTTTTTTTTTATATATAGCGCTTTTAACAATACAGATTGTGTCAAAGCAACTGAACAGCATTCATTAGGAAAATAGTGTGTCAATAATGCAAAATGACAATAGTAAACAATTTTTTCAGTTCATCATTGAATTCAGTGATGTCATCATCCAGCTCAGTTCAGTTTAAATAGTATCTTTGCAATCATTTGCAATCAAATCAACGATATCGCTGGAAATGAAGTGTACCCAACTAAGCAAGCCAGAGGCGACAGCGGCAAGGAACCAAAACTCCATCGGTGACAGAATGGAGAAAAAACCTTGGGAGAAACCAGGCTCAGTCAGGGGGCCAGTTCTCCTCTGGCCAGACGAAACCAGCAGTATTTAAGACATGCTGCTGCTGCACAAATAGCATATAACCCGTAGCAGATCTATACAGGTGGAGCTGGGGAAGGTGGAGGGTTTCAGAGAAACTCTGAAAGCGCGCAGCAGGAATCTCTAGTGAATGCTAGCCAGCCATATAAATGCAAGGCAGTAAGCTCATTGGTTGCATATGCAGCATGGACCAATCAGCTTGTGCCAAGTCGTTTAACTCTCTGAATGTCATCAGTTACGTTAACAACCCATCAGCCTGGGCCATCTAGAGTTTCATGACTAAACTATATATTTATTGGGTTTCGACTTACTTGAATATTGTAATGATATGAAAAAAAATACAAAATATAAAGTGGTTAAATGTTGACTTATATTTTACCAAAATGCGATTTTATGTAGTTTATTCTACTGTTCATTATTATGTACATAAATGGTGAACATATTTAAACAGGTTTTCAACCCTGTTTAGTGTTATGCAGCTGAATATAAAAGTCCACTTACAAACGTTACTGCCGCTCGTCAACGGCAGCTGTCACAGTTGCTAGGCAACAAGAACAGTCCTTCGTAGGCTAGACCAGAGCCGTAAGCTGTGTCCCAATTCAAAGACCACATCTGGGTCCTACGAAGGATGAGGCTGACACAGCCTTCGTAGGATGCTCCGACGCCGTTTCTCAATATGCGTTCTTGTCTGTACTTGTGTTCTTGTGGACTTGTGAAATGTCATCAGTCGTCGCCCAAGTACTGTTCCAATTCAATCCAATTCCAAAGCTCACATCTTGCCAAGTACAGTTCAAATCCCTGGATGTGTTCTTGCTCTGCCCCTTTTATCAATGATGCATTCAGAGGTGACTTGTGCAAACTTGAGGCAGCCAGGTATCCCAGAATGCATTTCACCAGCAAGCTTTAATGGCGGAGGAGAAAACCCCAATAATTTTCAAAATATTACTGTTATTGTGTCATGAAATGCAGATCTAAGAGTTTTTCAGGCGAGCATATAGTTGTTTAAAACTCAAATCTGTGGTTTATTTATAAAGATAGCGCCTATTTGAAAATTTGCTTTGCCAATTTCGGAAATGTGAGCTCCACGTGATCAACGGGCGCTCAGTGCTCATGTATCCGCCAAGAGCAGTCTCACGTCGGCTAGTCCTTCTGACATTTGCCGCTGGCTCTGATGTCTCTGTAGTGGTTAAACATGAGATATAATTCATTTTGGGTAACTCTAACAGGCAATCTTTGGTCTCATGAATCTATTATTTCTTCCAGGTCATATCGTTTTGGCTGAGCACAAAGTTATGTTTCATAAATTATTTATTAATCGTATAATACAGCGCTGACTTTGTTGCATACATTTGACTGAATTGTTTGCTTTTGTCTTATTTCCTATTACATAAATCTCATACTTTATAGTTATACTTTTATTTTAATAATTAATTTAATAATAATTAATTAATTAATAATAATTTAATAATTATTATTGTTCATTAAAACTGACATTTAACAAAAAAGGCAGAGTTATGCTTGTCATATTTCATTTTATTATACATTCAGTGAAGATAATCAGAGTATATGTGCACATTCCTAAACCACATATTAATATGTTTTATATTTTTACAATGAAAACTAGGGATGCATCGATACCGGTACTGGTATCGGTATCGGCCCGATACTGAGCTCCTGTACTCGTACTCGTTAAAATGCCCTGATATCAAACGCCGATACCACACAGCATGTCATAAGTGCCATATTCAGACAAAGAAACACAGACAACAGAACAACAGACAGCAGAATAAAGTTATTAGAGATTAAAGGTGCAATAGGTGATTGTCTTCAGAAATATTTTTTGTTATGCTGGTTGATAGTCTCTTCACATCCCGATAGAACTCATTAAGTTAA